CTGGTGTAGCTGGAATAGCGTTCGATATTTGACACAAATACAATACGAAGACGCACACAACCGCCACTGTTAACTTTCCAAACGACTTCATTATTCTGAATATTTTGATTCGTAGTAAGTCGTATGTTTCCATTTTATATTCAGTTTTGACCATTAAATGTCTGCTTTAATTATAAAAGAATGTAAATTCAATATAAATTAATTTTCTTTTTTATTAGACGTGTAGGTGATAAAAATATATTTTTTTTTTATTAAAAATATTTTTTAATTAAAATATAGCAATAAACATTCATATTAAAGTAATACCTTTAATACAGGATGTTTTGAGATGAAAGTGACATAACAGTGAGTGAGGATAACCAATGGGTAAGGTCACACCTCTGTATTACAGACCTTACGTGTATTTAATACACGTATACACGTATACATTTTACTTTTTTTTTTAAGTAGGTAAAAACAATACAATAATCAACCGGAGTTGCTGTATATATTTGTAAAAAAACTACACTAAATATGTCTCCGTTACAAATTTTTAAATTTAAAACTACATACTTTCCTATAGATTTTGCAGTACCTAAATAACGTATAGAATAAATTTTTACAATATACTAGATTAGAGTAATTCTTAAGAAATAAAGCAATACCTCTATTTGGTTACTCTAACCTTGTGTGTTATATATTTCCCTTGACAAACTAACGTTATATTTTGAACTAAAAGTAATTAAACTTTTCACCAAAAAGTAATATTTCACATATATAAAAAAAATTAAAACGGTTCTGTCCTTCTTACATTTGCGAAGACTACCCTGATATCTAATCTATTTTCTTCTTCAAAGTAATTAAGTTGTTCAACCGTTGTCTATTAAGGTATCTCACATCTCCCTCATACACACGAATTTGAAAAGCAGCAGAACAAAAATTCAACTAACCATGTATACCAAGTCCGTGTAAAGAAAACTTTTCATATCCCGAAAACGTCAAGTGTCAACTAAAATTTCTACTTTTAAAGATCAAACGTGCCGCCTCAGAGTGCCAATACTGATTGGTATATATACTGGGGTTTGCAGTATAATTTGATACAGCCATTCGAATACAATTATAAAAATGTTCATCTGTAAGTCGATTGCGATATTTGTTCTTAATAAACTTTATATTGGAAAAAGAAGATTCACACAACTGAATAATGCTTTCACTTTCAAGGCAACACGGCATAGAACTGAATATTTGTCTTTACTTACAATAGGCCAGATACATTTGGTACTTGAGACTAACGATTTTAAGGCTAAATCATTTTGAAACTCAATTACTTCCATTTCTGTTGCAGCGATGTCTTCGGCAAAGTTCTGCATAACATAAGTTGCAAACTGTTGGATATCAATTTCCATAAAGAGTGAAACAACAAACTGCGCTACTAAAGCCATTTCGTTGAAATCCTTAAAACGATTTTTGAAGTTATTCTTCAGGGTAGAAACTATTTCTATATGATATTTGCTGTCATAGGGTTCTAATGAATGAATGAATAGGAAAACTCCAGCTTTTTGATAAATACTTTTATATCAGAAATCATTTCCGCTAATTCTTTGTCTCTCCCTGAAGCTGCAAATTAAGTTCATTTAATTTATCTGTAATGTCCACGAGAAAACCAAAATCTCTAAGCCAGATTGAATTTTCTAGTTCCGGAGTCGGTTCATAGCGTTGTTTGAAAAATTGAACTATGCCAGATAAGACATCATTAAAACGTTTTAGCACCCATCCTCTACTTAACCATCGAACTTCAGAGTGAAGGAGTAGGTCCCCGTATTGACAGTCAACTTCATCGGCCAAGGTTTTGAATAATCGTCTTTGTAACGCTTGAGCTCTAATCTTGTTCACAATTTTTACCACCAGTTCCATAACGTTGTTTAGTTTCAGGAAATTTCCACATAATGCTTGCTGATGGATAATGCAGTGGTAACAGAGAAATTGCGGAAAAGTTTCATCTTTACGACATAACGCCACCAAACCCTTATCACAACCCACCATAGCTGGAGCGCCATCGGTTGTCAAGCCTACCATTTTCGATATTGGAATTTTCTCGGAAGAAATAATATTTTTTAAATGAGAAAACAACTCCTGTCCAGTAGTGTGTCCTTTCAGTGGAATAAACTTCAAAAGATCTTCTTTAATCGTAAAATCACTAAAAACTATCCTGACGAACACGGCCATCTTGGCAGTGTCAACGACATCTGTTGATTCATCCAGTTGAAGTGAAAAATAAACACAGTTATCTAAGTCAGTTCTTAACTGTAAAAAAATATCATTGCTTATTACTTCTACACGTCTCATCACTGTATTAGCAGAAAGTTGCATATATTTTATAGCTGAAACTATCTCGTCTTTATTTCTAAAGTTGGCAAATAACGAATTAGCAGCTTCTAAAAACGCCTGTTTTATCATTTCCCCGTCTTCATAAGGTTTCTTTTTTTGTGCAATTATCTGGGACACACGGTACGATGCTTCAGTTGAAGCCTTATTTTTGTCGACTGTTCTTAAAAATATTGATTGTTGTCCAATTAACTGCTTTTTTAACTGTTTCAGTTTCTCCTTTCTGGCGGCAGAATGTAGTGGGAATGATTTTTCAAAATTAGAATGTACAATTTAAATAAATTTAAATAAATTTAAATAAATTTAAATAAATTTAAATAAATTTAAATAAATTTAAATAAATTTAAATAAATTTAAATAAATTTAAATAAATTTAAATAAATTTAAATAAATTTAAATAAATTTAAATAAATTTAAATAAATTTAAATAAATTTAAATAAATTTAAATAAATTTAAATAAATTTAAATAAATTTAAATAAATTTAAATAAATTTAAATAAATTTAAATAAATTTAAATAAATTTAAATAAATTTAAATAAATTTAAATAAATTTAAATAAATTTAAATAAATTTAAATAAATTTAAATAAATTTAAATAAATTTAAATAAATTTAAATAAATTTAAATAAATTTAAATAAATTTAAATAAATTTAAATAAATTTAAATAAATTTAAATAAATTTAAATAAATTTAAATAAATTTAAATAAATTTAAATAAATTTAAATAAATTTAAATAAATTTAAATAAATTTAAATAAATTTAAATAAATTTAAATAAATTTAAATAAATTTAAATAAATTTAAATAAATTTAAATAAATTTAAATAAATTTAAATAAATTTAAATAAATTTAAATAAATTTAAATAAATTTAAATAAATTTAAATAAATTTAAATAAATTTAAATAAATTTAAATAAATTTAAATAAATTTAAATAAATTTAAATAAATTTAAATAAATTTAAATAAATTTAAATAAATTTAAATAAATTTAAATAAATTTAAATAAATTTAAATAAATTTACATAAATTTAAATAAATTTAAATAAATTTAAATAAATTTAAATAAATTTAAATAAATTTAAATAAATTTAAATAAATTTAAATAAATTTAAATAAATTTAAATAAATTTAAATAAATTTAAATAAATTTAAATAAATTTAAATAAATTTAAATAAATTTAAATAAATTTAAATAAATTTAAATAAATTTAAATAAATTTAAATAAATTTAAATAAATTTAAATAAATTTAAATAAATTTAAATAAATTTAAATAAATTTAAATAAATTTAAATAAATTTAAATAAATTTAAATAAATTTAAATAAATTTAAATAAATTTAAATAAATTTAAATAAATTTAAATAAATTTAAATAAATTTAAATAAATTTAAATAAATTTAAATAAATTTAAATAAATTTAAATAAATTTAAATAAATTTAAATAAATTTAAATAAATTTAAATAAATTTAAATAAATTTAAATTAATTTAAATAAATTTAAATAAATTTAAATAAATTTAAATAAATTTAAATAAATTTAAATAAATTTAAATAAATTTAAATAAATTTAAATAAATTTAAATAAATTTAAATAAATTTAAATAAATTTAAATAAATTTAAATAAATAATGTAACCTACACTTTTTATAAAAGATAAATTGTTTAAATAGATGTTAAATAATATTAAATTGCCCTTAAATTACTGAAAGGAAAGACGTAACTCTCGATCATCTTAAAATAAACTGAAATCTGAAACTAAAAAAATTAAAAATTAAGATTATTTACCCAGAAACCTGTATTTGTTAGTTTTGAGGTTTTGGATTTAAAGAGGACAAAGAAAATATATTTTAAAATAAAAAATATAATATTTATTTTTGAGAAGAAAAACTGACGCTTTATTTTATCTTTTGTGGATCTATTCAAAGTTTTTATCTTTTAACTAACATAAAAACAGTATTTTTAGATTTTTTATATTTTTCTATAACATTTAATTTTCTTAATACCCTACTATATGAATTCTCCCGTGCAAAGGAAAACCTAGTAACTCAATTTTTAGCCAAATTTAGTTTTCTATTGCATGTTAATCTGCTAGCTATTTCCACTGGATAGGTATCAAAAAACTTGTGATATGTTCAAAAATAAGCACGAAATCACTTCTGGAACTTCCTAGTAAGTGTAAAATATGACAAGTTTACAACGGTAAAATATAGCAACACAACATTCCAAAAGAAGAAACCAGCATATTTATTTTGCTAGTGTAATTTGTACGAGTTTATTGTTTTTTTGCTAGGCAAAAAGATAACAAAACTATTTGCTGACTTATTCCGTTGGTTTACGCTAATATAATATATATATATTCTATATTTCAGCGGAAAAACATCTAGTTATCCTACTATTTTATTATTAAAACACATTAGATTCATTTAAAATGGAAAAACTTAGCAATAATATTTTGCTAGGTATTTCCAGTGCATTATAACATTTTTATAAATTTACGCCCAATAATACTATGTTTTTCTAGTGTAAATGAGTCTGTAAGGTTTTCGCGGGAAAATTAACAACTCACGTGCTAGGTTATTTTTTGGGAATAAATATACAAATAATCAAACAGTCAATCAGTTGAGTTTGAACGTTTCGACCGTAAAGTAGTTATTTTTTTTTTGGGAACTTAAATCGGGAAATACGAAGATAGACAAGAATAAAAAGTGTGAAAATGTCAAAAAAGGGAAGGTATTTAGTAGAGTTGGCTATGGAATCTAAAATAGAGACTTTTAATGATAACCAAAGTGCTTATGGGAATACCAATAATGGGTAAGTTACAAATTAATATATTTTTAATCTTAGTTTTATAAATATAATAATACCTATGAGTGCTTATGTGGCCATGCATTTCTTGCAGTATCGTTAATTATCTACATACAGTTTGAGTTCTATAAAAAAAATAGTACAGTGTTTCTATCTGAGTGCCTAGTAGTTAGTTTCCTTAGTCACACAAATGATAACTAAAAAGTAATACTGCTAGTCAAGTACACTATTTAATTTCGATTGCCTGCTAGTAAGCTGTTTTTAGAGCATTGGAATTTTATTTACCTTTAAAAACATTTTAGTATCGAAAAATATGGTTATGCGACAGATCGAAAAATGATTCCTGTGGAAATGCGACAGTCCAATGAAATTCTTGATAAAATTACGACCAATGAAACAAATTGTGAAAAACCAGTTTCACCAAAAGTTTTCACAGAGTTACAACCATTTTGTGAAGGTAATACGACAGATCGAAAAATGATCACTGTAGAAATGCGACATTCCAATGAAATTATTGATGAAAATGCGACCAATGAAACAAATAGTAAAAAACCAGTTTCACCAAAAGTTTTCACAGAGTTACAACCATTTTGTGAAGGTAATGTGACAGATCGAAAAATGGTCCCTGTAGAAATGCGACATTCCAATGAAATTATTGATGAAAATGCGACCAATGAAACAAATTGTGAAAAACCAGTTTCACCAAAGTTTTCACAGAGTTACAACCACTTCGTGAAGGTAATTCTAAATTATAAAAAAATATTAAAAAAACTATAAATAAAATGTTGCGTACTTTATAGAGTATCTGGAAGATAGCCCTGTTGATGATTCCGATGTGGATCCAGAATATAAACCATCAGATGAAAAGCAAAAGAATACCAAAAAGTTGACATTTCTAGCCCGAAAAAGAAAAATTTCAAGTAAGAATATTTATCTATATCTATATATCATAATTGGGGGTTTCTTAGCGCAATACAAATTTAACAAAGCTTCCTGAAATTGGGGGGTAGTATGTATCCTTTATTAAACTTATTTAAAAACTTTACGCCTATTATATTATGACTATTTTAAAGGCACTACCAAATTTAAATACTTGTCTCTATAGTCTAAACCAACAAAAGGTAATACACCGATATAATGTACCATTTTGATTTTTTTAGATAATGAAAGGGATTATAAATTAATTGAGGATGAAGATGAGAATAAAAAAAAATCGGTAGTTACACAGGTAAAAAAAAAAACAAGAATTAGAACTGAATCAGAAAAAAGGAAAAGGAATTTGCAAAAATATCAGTTACTTTCAGAATGTAACTGCAAGAAAAGATGCTTTGATTTTTTTTCTAATGATGAGCGAAAGAGCATTTGCGAGTCGCTTTGGCGATTAAACTTTGGAGAAAGACGACAATATTTAAATGCCTGCGTAAAAAAGAATATTATTCAACAAAGGCGGACAGGCAGTAATAATAAAAGACAGTGGTCTCTTACCTACAGTATGATAAAAGTTAACGAAGGCACCGAAAAAAATGTTTGTAAAACTATGCTTTTACATACCCATGGACTTAAAACAGATGGTATGATTACAGAACTTAAGCGTCACCAAAATAAATCTAAAGGATTACAAATTGCCAAAGACGGGAGAGGAAAGGGAACTCCGCCCAATAAGAAAGATGGCTTAATATTTAAAGATCACATTAATTCATTTAACCCACAAGTATCCTATTATAAACTTGTGCATGCTCCAAACAGGGATACCTTCAGATATAAGTATAACAGATATGTAGAAAGATTTCTGTGAAACAATAGAAAATGTGTCCTACGAAAGGTACCGACACGAAGTTCATTTAGAAAATATTGGGTTTGATCAGCCAATCAGGATGACTGTAACGTATGTGTTTTACAAAAGGAACATGCAAAAGTTTGTAATAATTCGAGAAGTGCAAATTGCAATGAAGCGTATGTTCTTCTTGAATTGGTTCTGATGTACATCATGAACTCTATAAACAAGCAAGAGCGTCATATCCGGAAGACCGCGACAAAATTGCCAAGAAAAATCACATGATGTTTTCAGTCGATATGCAAACAAAATTATTACTACCTAAAATGTCGCTAAAATCGTCTATTTTTGTAAGCAGGCTTGTGGTATTTAATGAAACATTTGCTGCCCTACATAAGCCCCTTGAAAACAATTGCGTATTATGGCACGAAGCCATAAGTGATAGGAATGCAGAAGATATAGCTTCCACTTATTATGTTATTATTAAAAGGGCCCCTGCTCATATTATATACCATTATACCTTTTGGTGAGATAACTGCAGTGCTCAGAATAAAATTTGGAAACTGTATGTTGCTTTGTGCACAGTTGTCAATGCGGATTGGGGCCCAGAAACTGTGACTGTCAAGTACTTTGAAGCGAGCCATTCATTTATAAAATCAGATGTTGTGCATGGTCAAATTGGGAAAGCAATGAAAAAAAATCTAATGTTTATGACATTCATGACCTAAATGAAATTATCCTTAAAACGTCAAGACATAATAAGACTCTTTTGCTGAATTTTGAGGACCTTTACGAATTTAAAGAAGGTAGTAGACAAAGACGATCAAAAGATAGCTCGGAAAATTTACCTATGTTAAACAACGTTAAAGTTATTCAGTTCCAAAAAATTCAAAATCTATGTTTTATAAAACTAAACATACAGACAATGAATTTTTAAGCGTAGATTTTTTAAGATCCAAATATACTATGTCAATACCGGAGACTAAAAAAAATAACCGGGGCATAAACCCTGAAAAAAAAAAATTCTATATGATTTGGTTTTCCATCTATGCCTCCCATTAAAAGATTATTCTGGGAGCAATTGCCAACGTCTGGGAAATCAACTGATCTTTTATCAAACCAGTATTAAACGCATACATTTTAATTTGTTCCTTATTTGCGTTTTCATGTATTTCATTAAATGATTGAAATAGACATACCTACTAAACCAATTTTTTGATATTTTTTTAAAAACATATTTTTCAGTATTTTGTTAGACTAGCCTAATGTCATTTATCTTTAATAAAACTACTTTAGTAAATTAAAATTTGTTTTATTTATCTGATTAGTCGATCCTTTCCACTGATCTGTATTATTTTACTGGGTAGGATATAGCCCCCTAAAAAACGTTCCGAAAAATTGGCCGATTTGGGAAAATAATATGGCGGACCGGATGTTATTTAACGTAACCTCTATTTCCATTTGTCATCACATTTGTCATTAAATTGTATCAACAAGCTACGATGAGATATTTTTATTGTGGAAAACAAAGTAAAAAGAGTATGAAATAAACAATAAACGTTCATTCCTGAAGACACAATATGCTTCACGTTTCCATTTTTATATTTTCTTTCATAAAAAATCAAATTATGGGTGAAATTTCCCGAAGGACATCGCCCGCAAAAGGAATAGAAGAAGAATAAGAAAAAAAACTAATCAAATTATAGGTTAGGTATGTCAAATTATCCCAAATTTCAGTTCTGTGAACCCACCATAATTTGCCCAAATCGGCCAGCATTGTTGCACTTCCGGTCTCCTTGGTGGAATGATTTTTTAGTATGTTAAATATAGCCTATATCCTATCCAGTAAAATAATACAGATCAGTGATCCTTTCTTATTGTGACATCTTTCATGATTTGACTTTCAGCTCCTTAATTTGTTAGTAAGTTGACTTGCTAGAATTTTCCTTGATAATTGATATTTTTTTGAATTAAATAAAAACAGTAAATCAGCTTACTATATTTTTACATTGAAATTTTATCTCTTATCTAAAAAAAATAGTAAGTCCTGTATTTTAAAAACTGTTCAATGTATTGAAAAAATAAAAGTGAATTTGAATAAATGGACTTTAAAAACCTATACACTGATTAAAACTTTTTATTTGCTCATATAGTTTCTTAATGTCATTCAAAAACCAATAAATCCGTTGTACTGTTAAATTATATAAACTGAATTACTAGGTTTTCCTTTTCACGGGAGAATTATCCTCCTTTTCAGATTATAAAATATAAGTATATCTTAGTGTGAGTTAGATTTTCAAATTGATTAGAATTCCACATTTTGTTATTTTAGTATTGCGTGTTTTATATAGATCAATATAATGAAAAATTAATGATTCGTTTAGAAACCAATGTTTTGTTTAGTATTTGTACTGATTTAACAAGGGTCAAAATGAAAACATTTGCGCTATTAGTACGGAAATTGAATCTGTTATCTCTAAATAACCATACAATACAAGAATATGCCAGTATACGTAAAAGGGCTGTAAGGTTTGTAAAATATTAAATGAAATTTTGAAATTAATAACTTTGTATTTAAGAGGAGTATTTACTTGGCTTTGAGGCAGAGCATGCAAGGGTTTCGTCTGGAGACACTTTTTCAAAATTTTAATCAGTTTTTTCTCAAAAGAAAACACAAAACTCGACTTTTTTATCCATTTTCTCAATATTTTTAGAAAAAACTAAATTAGGTTTTAATAAAGTTGTTTCAGAGGAGCATAGATTTAACCTTTATCTACACGCACATATTTTTATCCTTTTACAAATAGTCAAAAATAAACTTTAAAAGTATGGTACTATGAAACCCTTACATTGCAAGATTTTTCGTCTGGCAAGTGACACCTCTGTTAGATTTTTAAGAAATCAATATTTGTGAATGAAAACAATTTACAATATATTTTACTGATGTTTTACGAAGGATAATTAAATTTTACGTATTTGTAGGTACACCTTATTGTTTTACGTAAGTCACTTTTTGAAAATTTAAATCGGTTTCTTCTGAAAAAATCTAAGAAGATATCTTTCTATAACAAAAAATACAAATAAAAATGCTAGAACGGAACAATAACAATATATTTAAATTTTACCTATAGGAGCATTTTTTTTTCTTAATAAAAATAAAAAAAAAATACGTTAAAAGCTTTTTCGTCTAAAAGGTGATACCAACAAAATGAATATATTTTTCTACTGTTTAAAAGTGATAAACTAACGCAAGTGATAAACTTACGCAAGTGATTTGAATTTATTTTGTTTTATGTCTGTACACTTTGTTATTTATCTATTAAAAAAATATATCCGAAATTAAAAGGCATCCAGTGAGATGTGAATTATAAATTAATTTTTATATTGCACGGGAGTTTTTTTTAATGAATACGTCTTCGAGTTAACAATAATTAATTCCAGCATGTTAACAACTCTTTAATCTATTAAAGAAATGTATATTTTTTCAAACCTAATAAATTATTTTTTTTGCCATCGCGCGTGACTTTGATCTGTCACACTCTTTGATGCGCGTTGCAAAAGAAGATTTTCTAAAATGTTTGCCAATGTCTTTATCATTTATATCAATACTATGTTAAAATTACAAATAAATGGTGCAATAATCCTATATGCAGATGATACTGTCATTGTATTCAAGGATAGTAGCTGGGAAGCAGGCAAAGAAAAAGCCAAAACGGGTATAAGTACTATTAAAAACTGGCTTGATTTTTATAAACTTTTAATGTCTCTAAAACCTCCTTTCTAGCATTCATGTTAAATAACGTTAACGTCTTTCGATATAAAAATAACTAAAAACTTTATATTTAGAATGAACAATACAACAAAATACCTCGGTATAATAATTGACCAAAATTTGAAATGGAGTGAGCACATTCAATCATTAACAACCAAGGTTAGAAGATTTATTTTTAAATTTTATGAGTTAAGAAAATTTATGACTAGGAGTCTACTACTTACTATTTACAATTCGTTAGTTGAATCTATTTTCCGATATGGTTTAATAATATGATATAGCACTTCAACCTCTTAATGTAATCCAAAATCGTATCGTCAAAATTATTTACAAAAAATCGACATTACCTCTCTCTAATATAACAAACAAGTGCTTAACATAAGAACATTATATTATCATTATTGTTGTACTTTTATTTATAGAAAGCCTGAACTGAGATATACTGCAAAGCACTTGCACAACACAAGATCCAGATTAAATGAGAATCTGAGATCTCCATCAGTTCAGCGAGATGAAAGTCAAAGATTTGTAACTTATGTTGCTCCCAAAATCTTTAAGGGCGTGCATTGGAACAGAGAAGTCTGAACAAGTCCTCCCAGAGAGAGACAAAATAAAGTTATCCGAGAGGTGCTGCCTCTAGTTAGCAACTAAGTAACAAATATACGTTCTGCATTTTCGCATTTGCGAATAAAAATGTATTCTTTTAAACTTGCAGGTACGGGCTTTTGTATGGTATAGATTGAAATTTTTTTGACTTTGCCTCCCACTTCGGTGTCACAAGCTGAATTTTTCAGGAATGAAAGTACATGATAAGCTTACCCTTATTCCGGAGGTAATACAGAATTAGACAGTGCAAAAGGGCACTATCATAAAAAATCGAGTTATTGATACCATCATATAGAAAAAACAATGCTTATTTTTTGTTGTAATGCACAATAAGGTCTTTGTAGGAAGTATTTTTTTATAATTATTTAAAAAAAATCATTTGCATTAGCCCTTATGGTCCAAAAAAAATTTAAACGTCAATATCTCGGTTTCAACCGTCCACAAATTTGTATAAAAAATCTTTTTTTAGAAATATACCTCTCATTTGACGAAAAACGAAGGCCTAAATGAGAAAAAACTATTCCGCATAAAAGTTTCGCCAATGTATTAACAAGGCAACAGTGCTTTCCCCATATTTTTTGCTTTTATAATAACAAAAATATAGCAATAAACAATTAGTTATGTCATGGTTTAACTAGAAAGC